GGTTATGATGGAAACTTCAAGATGTATGAGTCTCCATCATTTCTCCCATACCACTATATCGTGATAACCGAAGTGCAATTCAAATAGCCCACAACGATGTCTTCCATGAGCATGCCTATAGGGTTTTCAATTGAATAAACACAAAATAAAACAAATTTTTTATTCAATGTTAACCCGATTCCCATGATCAAGATTGATATAATACAATCTATTAATTAAAAACTAATTAATCATACAAGGATTAATTCAATACCAACGTTGGTGGCTCCTTCAAACATATTCTGATTCCAACTTCACAAATTGATTCAAGTGTAGAATCAAACAAGACAGTATCTACACAAAAGCAAGACAGGAATCATAAACGAATTAATTGCTAGATTAATTAGTTTGCCCTAAGAGAGAAAATGAAATTGAGAGAAAAATTATTTTCTCTTTGTAAGAGGTGGCGGCTAGGGTTTTGAGTGAGAAAATAATATGAATTATATTCATAAAATATCATATTCCTTTCTTTATATAGTAAGGGATAAAATATCCCTCCTTTAGAATAGGAATACTGCTATTCCTATTTGGAATAGCATTCCAATTAATTATAATCTAAACAAATATATAAATATATATTTATTCATATATTTAATTTTGGTATTTAAATATATTTAAACTTAATTAAATATATTCTATATTAATATTAATGTTTTATATTAATCTTAATATACTTATAATTTTGCTAAATCAATTTCAATATAAATATTGAATATTGGCAACAACCCCGGCAAATTTAATCGCACGGAAAAATTACCAAAATACCCGTTTCATCCAAAAGATGAAATTACCCTTCATTTCATTATCCTCCTTAAATTGCTTTTAATGTGTGTGACCCATAGACTCTTTATTATGTTGACAATGACTAGATTCATAGTTAAGCATCAACTAATTAGCAATCTACACACCAATCAAGATTGACCTCTAGCAAAACATCATGATTACCCAACAAATAAAGATTCAGCAAAGTTGCTATCTTTCAACAGTATGGTTACTGTGCAATTCAAATCCCTTCATCATCATTTATCTCATCAAGGTTTAAAGTACAAACGTAGTGTCAACTTCAATTGTTTTACCTTGATAAATTTGCATTTGGTTATTGAATCAACGACCAAATAAAATTGGATTTGAGCACTGACTCAATTCCACTGTGACCATAGATTTGTGGTCGTAGTTACTAACTGAATAGCTCAACGAGATAATTTCACCTGTACCCAGGAAAGATGAATCTTGTCGATCCACGATAGCCATTGTGTACTTATAAATGTAACCAACCACTACTGCACTGATTACCCTAAATAGGACTACGTTACGCTAGTGTCAAATTACACCAATATTTACACACGGTGCTTTGGTGATCTCAAGTTCAAGGATTACATGCACCACCATCCGTTAGAGAATATATTCCATATACACTGGGGTTACCATCTATATGGAATCATCTAATCGGCCAGTCTAGTGAATTTGTCAATAATAAGCACCCACGCAACACACTATGTTGTCACCAAACAACCTTTACATGGGAGAACTGTCGCTACCTTTTGGTAGAGTCATTAAATGCTAGATAGCCTTACTATATAATATGTGTCCTTGGTTAGATTAATACTGAGGCTATGGATGATTCTAGAATGGCCACCATATATGATCATAGGATCCTCATGATTAAGATTTGAAATACTTAATTCCATTGTCACGGTTCAACCCTTCTAAAAACTATTACAAGAGTCTAATATTATTGGCTCTAATGCATCTATCATGACAGTACCAAGCACATTGAAATTGATTGTCACTTTGAACGTTATCATGTTCTCCAAGATACTCTTCATCTCATCTTTATCAGGACTATTGATCAACCAATAGATATTTGAGCAATGTCATGCTTATAACTGAGTCATACAACCAGACAAAAAATAAAGGCTAGAGTAGTCATTTTACATATATTTTTGCAATTTTTATTTGGTTGTATGACTCAGTTGTAAACAAATCATTATTGTAGATATTTTTACCAAAACTCATTCTCCAGGAAGACATCACAGTTTAATTTCCAAACTCAAGTTAGCCTCTTGTATTCCACATTGAGTTTCAAGGGGATGTCAATATGCAACAGCTATATTTACATCCAGTAATACTACACTTACCGATCAAGCTACCGATTTTCACATACCGACCCACCTGTCCAATTACCCAAATCTCAAAATTTAACTCAATTCACATGAGTCAGTATGTCAAATCGATAGTTTAATCGGTAACTCAAGCATTATTGATTTACATCTATGTAATGTTGACCCCATAATTGAGTCAATCATATGATTAGTGGCAAGATCTTTGGCTTGGTCTTTGCTATTCTTTCCACTTATGTTATTCTCTGTACGCTTTATATTCTCTCTAGTACGAACAATAGAATACAACAAATACAAAACTAAAGATTATTTCAATGCCTCTCTCTTTCATCAATATTTTATAACTTTATCATTGACAACTGACAAATTTAAAACATTCCAACAAAAATCTTGAAGGTTTTACCATCTTCCAATTTAATCAAAGATTACATACAAGGTTTACTAGTAATTTGAATACATGAATGATACCTGATGGAACCATGATTCTATTGTTCAATGTCACTAACAAACAATCTTCAAGGAATTGAATCTCTCCTGTAAAATCCTGTTATACTAACCAGTTATGTTATTGGATTCTCATAATGACTCTTCCAGGAAGAAAACATCCACATTAAGATCAGAACCAACTCCCTCATGCCCATCAAATTCGCTAAGGCCTAAAAACGTCTCCATCGGAACCTCTTGGTTCACAGCAAAAACATCCTGGAAGAGATAACCAACTATATCTATTGGTTCTTTTATATCATCTGCGATTTCTAATGGTACGATTTTCGCCGAAATTTTGTTTGAATTTCGAAACCTTGAAGGCATATTGTTGAGTTTCTTGACACTCTTTTTGTTGTTGTTTCTTTGTTTCAATTCCAATATCTTTGCCGCTGTTGATCCTGAGTTTATCACAGCTCTTCTCCTACACCTTTCTTTTGAATGCATTTTACAGGTCCCTTCAGGATTATTTCCAAACTTTCTCATGTCTTTCCGAGGAGACATTGTGAAACATTTCCAGGATTCTTCAGAATTCCAACACACTTCAAGCTCAAATGGCCAGAATAAAGGTTCATCAGCACCCAAATCTTCCAAATATTCTGCATCTTCTGAGACAGGCCAAATTCCTTCAGGATAATTTGATAATTTGACTTCAGGATTGCAGCTACAAGTTTTGTCCTTATCCGAAGTCTGAGAAGACGAATCAAAATTAGTTCTGAAATCTATTTCATCATTCCCTGGAGAGTTTAACATTGCAGTGACTTCTCCTTGATATTCCAAGCCTCCCAGGAAAGTTTCTTCTGCATCAGGAAAAAGTTTTTTCAGCATTCAAATTCATTGTTAGTGCGAAAATCTGACAAACTTGCGGTTGGAGTAAGAACTGATTCCGCAAGATTAATTGCTGATGTTTTTTACAGCAGTCAGGAAATTAATAAATCATAAACATAGAGAAGAAATGTACCAGAGAGTCTGTGCTCGGCGAAAAATTTGGAAGGCGAATCAAAATCTGAAGACAACCACATACATTCATGATCATCCAGGCATCTTTCCATATCAAGCTCTTTATCGAGATCGAAATCGTCTTCGAACGAGGAGAACTGATGAGAATTATCAACAAATTTCCTCCTGGATTTGCGGGTAGACCCCATTGTTTCAATTTGTAAAATTAATGGATTCTGTATCAGTTTGATGATCAAATGATTTCTCGTTAATCTTCCTCTTCAAAGGAGAGGACGAAGAACAAAACTTTGCAGGGAATCCCATTTGGATTAAAGCTTGTTCCAGTGATATAACACTGTGAAACTGACAAGATACATAATTAATTAATTAACATATTAAATTAAGAACAAGCACAAATAATTCATAGGAAGATAAAATAAAACAAGGAAGGTGGAATTTAAGAAGCCTGCAATTGAAAAGACCGGCGATTTTTTGAAGAATTCCACGTAAATTAAACAAAAAATTTTAAGGCATGATGTAATGACAGAATTGAACAAAGGAAAAATTAATTCTTCTCAGCTTGTACAAGTCATATCACATAGAAAATTAATTTGAATTCAAATGACAAGACAAAGGAATGAAAAGCATTGATATTGACATATAATTAACATAGAAAATTGAGAATTAGTCAATTATATATTAAATATTTCCTTAGATTTACATAAAATTTTAAGGCATGATGAATAAAACAAAAGAAAATAGCAAACATTAGAAAGAAAAGAAAGTTAATTACCTTGCTGAGTGGAGTTCAAATTTATAAAGAGTAAAAAGTTAGAAAAACCCTAAAGGGTTTTTAAATGAAGAAGAATCAGATCTTGAGAAAACAAAAGAAGTATGAGAATGTTATATACATGTCGAATAACTGTTGTTACTAATAATCAACGTAAAGGATGTTGTTGACTATAATTTACCAAATTTAGATTTTTGGCGCGTCTACTCGTAGCATATAGCTTTGTTATCGCAGAGCGGCGGCTAATTATGGTAATTCCACTTAAAGTTAGATGAATTTTAACAAAAAGTGGCGACTCTTTTAACTTCCCAATATTGACCTGTTTGATTTTCAACATTTGTTTTTCTTTTTTTCTTAAGATCTTCCGCCTTAACTTCAATAAATCAAAAGGAGCAAATGGAGTTGCATTGGACTTTCTGTTCTGTACCTTCGAAATTGACAAAACAAAGCTTTAACAGGGGCTAGCAAGTGGGTTTCTTGGTGTTGAAAAAAAAAAGCTTTAACAGGGCTAGCAAGTGGGTTTGTTGGTGNGTCTGAACATTTTAATATTAATTTTGTCATAACCATGAATAACGCACTTTGATTATGTTACTTATAGTTATTTATAATATTTCTTGTAGGATATATTTGCGGGCGGAACTGACACTACTTACACGGTCTTAGAATGGGCAATGACAGAGCTTTTGCGGAAACCCGGAGTCATGAAGGTATTGCAGAATGAAGTGAGAGGAATCGTGAATGGGAAAGAGATAATAAAAAAAGAAGATTTAGATAAAATGCATTACTTGAAAGCGGTACTCAAAGAGACTCTTCGTTTGCATCCTCCAATTCCTTTACTAGTTCCCCGAGAATCAACCAAAGACGTCAAAATTAACAACTATGACATATCGGCTGGAACAACAGTAATCACTAATGCTTGGGCAATCGGAAGGGACCCCAATATATGGGATAAACCTGAAGAGTTTAGACCAGAGAGGTTCTTGAACAATTCTATAGACTTTAAAGGACATGACTTTGAATTGATACCATTTGGTGCAGGGAGGAGGGGTTGCCCTGGTGTCTTATTTGCAATGAGCACTAATGAAATTGTGTTAGCAAATCTTGTTAACAAGTTTGATTGGTCATTGCCCTTTGGAGCAAGAGTGGAGGATTTGGACATGACAGAATGCACTGGTCTTACTATCCATAGGAAAGTTCCTCTTTTGGCTGTCGCTACTCCAACTTCTTGTTAGAACTATCAGCATTCCCTATTCCTCTCTATGTGCTGTATCTCGGTTTACTTGTAGTAATTTGAGCAGGTGTACGAGTGGTAATATTCCTATTATTCTTTTTATACGCCAAAAAAAAAAAAAAAAAAAAAAAAGTTATAAAATTGGTACACTTTACCGAAATTAATGTGGTTTGACAAAATATAGCACTTAATTTGTATTCTTTCTAACATTAATCTTCCCATCAGACAAATTATACAAGGAACCAAACTCTAAAAAAATAGGGATTCTTCTTAGGATAGGAAATTAATTCTTGTTTCACACAATATGATTCTTCTTGATACAAAAAGCCAGCCAATATTCAGCAATTAGAGAAATATACAAGTAATTTTAGACTACAAGTGATGCAATGATTACGAAGAAGGTGTGACAAATCAGGCAACATGTGATCAGCGCCCTGAATGTTCATTGTACATGATATAAAGAGTAAACGATTTTTTTCCCACCCAAGCTTTCCCTTAAGATACTTGCTCACCCTAAAAATTTTAAAATACTACAATCCTATCCAAAGTTTATATTCCGTTAAAACCTAAAATACACTTCACTTTCTTAGTCAACGTTCGGTAAGTTACAAGGAGCTAGGGTAAAAAAGGTTTTATAGAGTGAAGGCCAGTGGATCAAATGATGGTGACCGATTAAATATTCGCTGTTGGAATCAATCGAAAATCAGTTAAAAACAGGAAACTTTAGCTTTATAATAGCTAATAATCGACAAAAAATTAGATGTCGAAGTGAGAGGTTACGTAGAGAGAAGATCAGATGTTTAAATAGTGATGACGAAAAGAATTTTTATAACCAGAATCAGCTAAAATCGGATTTAAATAATAATATAATATTAACCTTGGGTGAAAAAATAGTATTTTTGAAACTTGTTAAGTGGGAAAATGTTATTACGGCAAGCCTTGGGTGGGAAAAGGTCGTTTACTCTGACATAAATTATCAAAATCATATTTAATATAACCCGTCCATATCTCCTCTAGTCAACTAAAATTTGTTATTATAAATTATTATCAATAATAACTTTCTTGACAAGCAAAAGTGTGCGGCGAGGTCATTAATTCTTCTTGTTTATAAACGGACCAATTCTACAGAGAAGAAAGAACATCCCAACAATCACTTAGAAGACGGAGCAAAAGCAACAAAAAGTATATATGTCGTTAGTTTATTACTTCATCTATTTCTTACTTTTCATCTCCTCTGCATTCTTCCTATTCAAATGGATCTTCTCTTCTTCAACCTCCCACAAAATTCTACCACCGTCGCCACCGAAACTCCCAATTCTCGGAAACATTCACCAACTAGGCCTGTATCCTCATCGCTCCCTCCACTCACTAGCTCAACGCTATGGCCCTCTTATGCTCCTTCATATTGGAAGAGTGCCAGTACTCATCATCTCCTCTGCAGATGCTGCTCGTGAGATCATGAAAACGCACGATCTCATATTCTCAAACAGACCCAAATCCATTATTGGAGACAGGCTTCTCTATGATGGTAAGGATGTGGCGGGTGCTCCTTACGGTGAGTATTGGAGACAGATAAGAAGCATTTGCGTGCTCCAACTTTTAAGTAATTCGAGGGTTAAGTCTTTTAGAACCGTAAGAGAAGAAGAAATAGAACTATTTATCAAAAAGATTGAAAGTCTTGCATCACTGTCATTGCCAGTGAATTTGAGCGAAATGTTCTCTTTGCTTACAAATGATATTGTATGTCGGGCAGCTTTAGGGAGGAAGTATAGCGAAGGTGAAGGTGGGAGAAAGTTCAAGGAGTTGCTGGGGGAGTTTACTGGATTATTAGGTGGTTTCAATATAGGGGATTTCATTCCATGGCTTACATGGATAAATTATTTCAACGGTACAGATGCTAAAGTGAAGAAAGTTGCCAAAGAGTTTGATCAGTTTCTAGATAAAGTTGTTGAAGAACACTCACATGGTCAGGAAAGAGAGATTAAAAGCCATGGAGTTGTCAAAAGTGAAGACGGAAAGGATTTTGTGGATGTTTTGCTTGAGGTTCAAAAGGATAACAAGGGTGACTTTTCCTTCGATAAAGTTAGCGTCAAAGCTCTCATCCTGGTATTTACCTCTCTGTGTCCCCAAACATTGCATAAATTGCATAATTATACGATTTTTCATTTAAATACAATTTATTTTTGAGTACTTTTTATTTTTATTTTTGTTTATTAATTTGTTACAGGATATATTTGCTGCTGGAACTGATACCACATACACAGTCATGGAATGGGCAATGGCGGAGCTCTTGAGGCACCCGAGAGTAATGAAGGAATTGCAGAATGAAGTGAGGCGAATCGCCAATGGCAAACAGAAAATAAAGGAAGAAGATTTAGATAAAATGCATTACTTGAAAGCTGTACTCAAAGAGACCCTGCGTTTACATCCGCCTATTCCGTTACTAGTTCCCCGAGAATCAACCCGGGATGTCAAAATTAAGGGCTATGACATATCGGCAGGAACAACAGTAATCACAAATGCTTGGGCAATTGGAAGAGATCCCACCTCATGGGACAAATCTGATGAGTTTACTCCTGAGAGGTTCTTGAACAATTCTATAGACTTTAAAGGACAAGATTTCCAACTGATACCATTCGGAGCTGGCAGGAGGGGTTGCCCTGGAACATTATTTGCGATGGCCACTAATGAGATTGTGTTGGCAAATCTCGTTCACAAGTTTGATTGGTCATTGCCTGTTGGAACAAAACCTGAAGATTTGGACATGACAGAATGTACTGGTCTTACCGCCCACAGAATGGTTCCTCTTCTTGCTGTTGCAACTCCAACTTCTTATTAATTAGTTCAAGATTCCGTATAGTAAATAAAAACCATTTTTTATATATCTAATCATAAATGAGAATTCCGATGACAGTGTAAAAGTATTGTGCGTTTTGTTTTCAAGTCTGTTATTAAGGTATTTTGTGTTATTCAATTTCTTCTTAGTGGCAGCGCCAGATTGTGTTGCGCTGTGGATTGAGATTTAATTGCAAAATGTCAGGAGCATGGACATTTTCATTTTTAAATTGATATTCTTTACCTACATAGTTGATGAATTAATTCTTATTTAAAGAGTTAAAAGTCTAAATTAAAACATAAATAAAATAAAAATTAAAGACATCTACTCAAAAAAGAGGACTAATTTAAGACAGGTGAACATATTTAGTTGAAGTTCATTGCAACATAGGCTAATATGTCGGATACATGGAACAGTGTAGAATGAAAATTGATGCTGAGACATCTAAGAAACGTAACCCATTTTATATTTGACTGTAATGGGTTGAGATATGAAATTTTACCGAAAAATTCAGTAGAAAGATCAAGAAAGGAATATTTTCACGAATCCATACTGTCAATTGTCAAATAAAGTAGGCAAAAAATAGGTGTACATGCAAAACTTATTAAGTCTAGCCACACATAGCATAAAAATCTAATCTCTAGTTGAATCTTTTCTCCAACTCTTTCACCACAACTTCAGCAAAATGACGTAGCTATGTTACCCTTCAGACGTCTCAATTCTCGACATCATTCACACCTTTGTGTGAGAGTTGCGTTGCAGCACGGGACCCTACTGAAGTGAAAAGAGAGAAAAAAAAAGAAAAAGAAAAAAAAAAGAGAACCACTCGTTTTGATGACCCACAATCGCTAGCAAAAAGCCAAGTATTGAGCACCGAAAGACAACGTCGGTCCCCAATGAGACTATGACTGGACGGTGAAGGTGCATCACCAATATCTTTTAGGTTAGTGGGGAATAATTGCATTACTAATAATTCTGTATCACAACAATCCTTCACTTCAAGCATGCCAACAATCTCCCAATAGAATTATATTTTTATTTTTATTCTTTAATTCTTCAAACATTTTTTATCCGGGATTTATTGTAAGAACATCTCCAAAGCACTATTTATATGATTCAAACTTTTTATTATAAAGAGTTTATTCATAAAAATAAAAGTTCATCATACTCTTTATCTTTTAAAAAATAAAATAATAAGGAATGAGTTTAGCTCTCCACATCTATAGAGTCAAATTTAACTCTTAATCCTAATTTCAATTAATGAACTACAATTTTCTATACATTTTATTTATTAATTCTTTCTCCTATTAACTCTCTTTCTTGAAAATAAAGAACATCTTCATTAAATTTAAGGAATCCATTGAATTTGAATAAAAATTTTGTTTTTTATATTTAGAAATTAATGAAGATGCTCTTTATTTACATGAAATATGCTCTTTAGAATAAAAAGCACCATTAAAGATGCTCTAATCATCTTTTCTATTGTCTACGTACTCTTTTCCTTTTTTTTTTTTTTTTTTCGAAAGTCATTTACTACCTGTATGGGTCAAAAATCGCATTGGACTTTATCAAGCCCAATAATGAAAATACATTAAGTATGGTCCAGTGCCTTAGCCCAATCCCGGTTGGGCCCATGCTTAAATTTATCTTGTAAATTAACCACCCAATGGTAGACTCCATCTTATAAGAAGAACAATTCTATAGGCCGACCCATTTTACAAGCTGAACCACACCATGAGTCAATCCTCTCCACGAGCTGGGCTACTTTACGAGTTCAGCCTCTCTACGATTCTGGCCACCCTATGAATTGGGTCAACTTATAGTTGGGTCACTCTATGAGGTGAGCCTTTCTACAAGATTAAGCTACATTGGGTTCCAGCCCATCAGCCCATATTCGTTCTAAAATAGGAATTATAATCCTATTTACTTCCTAATTCATCCAAGACTCCTAATCTTACATGAATTAGTATTTCTTCTTCTACATGGATAATCATTATGAGTTTCCTGTTTACTCAAACTCCTAAACTAGAACTCAAAATTCTACTAGGACTCAAGCCTCCTAGGCTTACTATATAAACATGGTCAAGTCTGTCATTATTCATTCACAAATAGCCTATAACTTTAGCTCTCAAAGTTCTTGCTCCCAAGAACCGCCGCCTCTCCTG